GGGGGGGCTCAGGTGTCCCACAACAACGTGTCCCAACTCCAGGAGAGATCTGGGGAGCAGTGAGGAGGTACTGGTCTGTCCTGGTCTGTACCCCCAATCCTCAAAGCCCCTCCCCAGTTCCCCCAGGACCCTCCCGGACCCCAAAGCCCCCCAGGCCCCTGACTTGGTCCTGCTGCCCCTTGAGCATCTGCAACTGCTGCAGAACCAGGCATTTCTTTGCTCCCCACAGGGTCGTTCTCACACCCAGAATGGAATCTGGAGGCAGCAGGATGTGCACAGTACTCACATTTCCTACAGTGGAAAGGGGCTGCAGGGAATGATTCCCCTGCTCTTGCAAATCTGCCAAAACCTGCAGGGCACAGAAGTGCGAGCTTCAGGAATTTGCTGGCCTTGGGAGTGGAGCTAACTGGGTATTGAGAGGAACATATCCCTCAAATACAATCTCTCTGCATACACAATATCTATCTGGACAGACAGATAAAGCAATAATCAGATATATTCTGTATCATATATATGGCACGTATTCTATAGAATCCATCCTAAGGTATTGTATAATATATCTATAAGATATTACAAATAATAAGCAATAATAAGGCAAGTGTCCTCCTTAGGGACACACACTTCAGAAGGCAACTTGCACTTGACCCCCCCCTCTTCAGCTTTGAGCCACCTGGTGCCACAGAGGGGACAGAGTTCCTGTGGAACATTCTATTCCATTGACACAGAGCAAGGAATAAACCCAAACTATTGCCTGGGTTTGTTCCCTGGGGGTCTCTGCAGCAGCAAGCCCAGCACCACACTGACTGCTCTGGGCTGTGCAGGCATTTGTGGTTCTGCCTGTCTCGCACACACACAGAAGTCTGGTGTAGTGCTGCCCTCAGGGAAACCCCTCCAACCTTGCTCCAGCTAAAGCCCTGGAATTTGTCTTTGTTTCCCTTGGGTTCAGGGTCAGGTTGTGCCTGTGTCCAGCCCAGAGGCTCAGAAAAGCATTTCGCCCGTCCCACTGCAATCTGCTGCTGCAGACAGGACCCAGGCACTGGTGGCACTGGGAGTGAACAGCAGAGTGTTTCCAGGGGCTCTCTGAATGAACACAAGTGTCCAAAGAAACCAACGCAAGTGTCCACAGAAGTCCCAGTCCTTCATCCCTGAATGAACTCATTCAGCCGAGGAAAAACTAAGTTTTATTTCCATGGAAGGAGATTTTTCCCACATTACCACTGGTTTAGTTCCAAACCAGTTCCTTCATTTCCTCCTCCCAATTTTCCTGAAGGACACTGACAGGGATCACAGAGTTTGTCCCTTGGCCATACAGCTCCTGTTGTTTGGCAGCACAGGAGAGATTAATTAGAGCCCAGGCTCCAATCGCAGGGCACGCCTTGAAGACGACCTTGAAATCAAACCGCTTTCCTGCTAGAGGGTTAAATTCAGTCCCCATCACCTTTTTTTGCGTAGAATCTTCATATTTTGGAGTATTTTTTAGCTGAATCTCAACTTTTTGCATTTTGGGGTGGTGAGGGTCTTCTTGCTATTTCTGAGGGATTTTTTGCCTGAATCTCGATGGTTTTGGTTTTTCTGGGCTGAATCTTGGTGTTTTGGAGGTTTTTATGGCCACAGGATGCCCGGTGAGTTCTAGAGATGGACTTGGGCAGGAGGAACCCCCAAGCCAACGTGCTCAGCCCTTGTTTTCCCCCCCATCAGGATTTGTCCTTCCCAAAGCTTGGGCGGATGGAGGAGGAGGCTGTGAGGAAGAGGAAGATGCCGTGGGCCCCCCAGGCAGGTGAGGAGGAAGTCAGTGGCCCTTTGGGCCGGTGTTGTGCTGGCTCTGGCAGTCGAGTATGGCCCCCGGCTGCAGGACAACCCCGCTGCCGCCGCCGTCCTGCCGGGGCCGGAGTTGGGGGGATGTCCTTGGCCTTCCCTCTGGGCCGGAGGCAAATCCCCTGCGTGTCCTTCTTGCTTCCTGCCCCAGGCCCCGAGCTGAGGACAGAGAGTCCGGAGGACAAATCCCCCCGGCAGAGCCTGGTGGGAGAGGCTGTTTTGAAGGGCTCCACGGCGCAGGAAGGCAACGGGGAGGAAAAGGGCTGGAGATCCTCCTGCAGGAGGGGCTCCAAAGCCAGCCCAGGGTGCTCTGAGGAGGAAAGAGCCTGCCTGTGCCGGGAAGGCGGATGGAGCTTGAGGCAGAGCTCTGACCTGGTGGTCCCTGAGCAGCCTCCCAGCAGGGAGAAGCCCTTCAGATGCTTGGAATGTGGGAAGAGCTTCAGGAAGAGCACCAACCTCCTCAGCCACCAGCATATCCACACTGGGGAACGTCCCTACATGTGTAGGGAATGTGGGAAGAGCTTCAGCCAGAGCTCCAACCTGATCCAACACCAGAGTATCCACACTGGGGAATGTCCCTACAAATGTGGGGAATGTGGGAAGAGCTTCAGCCATAGCTCAACCCTCCGCATCCACCAGCATATCCACACTGGGGAACGTCCCTACACGGGTGGGGAATGTGGGAAGAGCTTCAATGTCAGCTCCACCCTGATCCGACACCAGCACGTCCGCACTGGCAAACGGCCCTACACATGTAGGGAATGTGGGAAGAGCTTCAGTGACAGCTCTACCCTCCGCAGACACCAGCGCATCCATACTGGGGAATGGCCCTACAAGTGCTTGAATTGTGGGAAGAGGTTTCCGACCAGAGGGAATCTCCTCAGGCATGAGCAGACACACACGGATGAGAGGCCCTTCTGCTGCACCGACTGCGGGAAGAGCTTCAACCAGAATTCCCACCTCATCAGGCACCAGCGCATCCACACCGGGGAGAGGCCCTACAAGTGTGGGGAGTGTGGGAAGAGCTTCCCCAGGAGCTCTGGCTTGACCTCACACCAACGGACCCACCGGTAAGGAAAAGACCTACGAGTGCCCCGACTGCGGGAAGAGCTTCGGCCGCTGCTTCCACCCCGAATGAACCCCCTGATGCTGAGGCAACCCCTGGAGTCCAGTGACTGTCAGTCCATCCCTTTCGACCACAAAGGGCCAGTCCCCTTTCCCAGGGGCAGGTTCTGCCAACAGAACCCTTCTTGGGGGGGTGTGTGGAGATTCCTGCCTTGGCTGGGGACCCCGCAAGGTCACTCGTGGAGGTTGAGAGGAGAGATCTCCCCACCAGCGTTGGTGTGGGAGAGTTCCATCCATCTCTAATTAAGAATTATTGCTTTTGTGCCAGCTTGAGTAGAATTGCTTCAGCAATTGCTTTAGTGTAGAGCACTGTCCTATCTTATCCTGTACTCCTGGTAGTTTTAGTGTTTGTATTGTGCAGTAAATAATTCTGATGAAGATCTTTTGCCTGATCACTTGTAACCCTAAATAACTCATTTCTATCAATAGATCTGATTTGCCATCATTAAAACCTGGGGGACAAAAGTGGTTCAGTCACACTTCTGTAATTCCTCTAAACTGAAAGTGTTGGCATAATCCAAGGCTGAGATTGGATCCAGCAGCCCCCAGCACCCCACAGGAAGTTGGGAGCTCAGGGGGGCCACCTCCCTTTCCCAACCTCCTGGTGTCCAAACACCCCCATGGGACCGTCGGACCCAGCAGACCACCCCCCTTTTCCACCCTTCTCCCTGTTTCTCCCACTTTCCCATTGTCCCCTCAATCCCCAATTTTCTACCGAACAGTTTTGGTGTCCCAACCCCCACTTTTTGCCCCCTCTCCTGTGGGTGCTGAAGGAGAAAATGAGGCTGCACACACAGAGTTCCATTACGGGACTTGTCCGCCCATCTTTCTGGCGTCCCCCTTTCATTGGGGTTCCTTTGGAAACAGTGCCTGGGCTTTGTCTTTTAGTCCACCAGAATTCCCAGCATGGCCCCAAAGCAGTGCCCTGATCCCACACATTCCCCTCGCCTCATGTGCTGGCTGTGTTCAACCACCCGAGAAAAACACAGGCTACCATGAAGAGCATTCCAAGTGGGTTTCCACTTTGGCAAACAGCACTCTCTTGATGGAAAACACCAGTCAAGGCCAAAACACTCCTTTTGCATCCTGATTAACTGAATGCAGCTGCTGCTGCCTTATCTTGTTCCCACAAAACTTCTCAGGGTTCCTTTGGTTCCAGGAGGCCCCACATGTCTCAATGGATTCTTGATTCCATGAGCTTCCACAGTCTCCAAAGGTTCCTTTAGTTCCATGAGGCCCTGCAATCCCAAAATGCCCTTTGGATTCCATGAGATTTCCCACTGTCCCAGGGTTCCTTGTGCTTCAGAAGGAGCTGCAGTGGGACAGTGGCCCCTTGGTTCCGTCAGCTCTGCAGTGTTCCAGGAATCCTTGGGTTCCAGGGGAGCCTGCAGTTTCACAAGGACCACTTGAATCCAGGAGGTTCTGCAGGGTCACAGTGGCCCCTGGATTCTGGGAGGTTCAGAAGTATCTCAGGGCTCCCTTGGTTCCAGGAGGACATGCATGTCAGCAGGACCCCTTGGTTCCAGGAGGTTCAACAGTGTCTCAGAATTCCTTTGATTTCATGAGGCCCTGGATTGTCCCAATGGACTCCTGATTCCATCAGCCCCCTCGATGTCACAATGGTCCCTTGGTTCCATGAGTTTCTGCAGTGTCCCAGGGTTACTTTTGTTCCTTGGGACCTGCAGTGTCACAATGGGCCCTGAATTCCGGGAGTTTTCCCAGGGTGACCGTGCTGCCTTGATTCCATGAGATTGCCCAGTGTCCCAGGGCTCCTTTGGCTCCAGGGGGCCGTGCAGTGTCCCAATGGTCCTTGGTTACATGAGGTTCCACCATGTCCTTGCTGGAACATGTGTGGTTGTAATGCTGCCCCACCTGCAGAGCTGCCTCCAGCTCTGGGCTCCAGTCCAGGAAGGACATGGACCTGTTGGAGCGAGTCCAGAGGGGAGCAGCAAGAGGCTCAGAGGGATGGAGCAGTTCTCCTGTGAGGAAAGGTTGAGAGAATTGGCATTGTTGAGGCTGGAGATGAGAAGGCTTTGGGGTGACCTAATTGTGGCCTTCCAGTCCCCTCAGTAAATTCGTGGACAACACAACATTGGGTGTGAGTTTGGATTTGCTGGAGGGCAGGAAGGCTCTGCAGAGGGATCTGGACAGGCTGGATCAATAAGACCAAGTGTCAGGGCCTGACCTTGGGTCCCAACAACCCCCTGGAACGCTCCAGGCTGGGGGCAGAGGGGCTGGAGAGCTGCTTAGCAGAAAGGGACTTGGGGGTGCTGCTTGACAGCAGTTGGATATGAGCCAGAGTGTGCCCAGGGGGAGAAGAATGCCAAGGGCATCCTGGTCTTTGTGGAGAAGAGTGTGGTCAGCAGGAGCAGAGAACTGATTGCCCCTCTGTGCTGGGCACTGGGGAGGCCCCACCTCGAGTGCTGTGTCCAGTTCTGGCCCCTGAGTGCAAAAAGGTCCTTGAGGGGCTGGAGCGTGTCCAGAGAAGGGAACAGACCTGGGGAAGGCTCTGGAAAACATGTCTGCTGAGGAACGGCTGAGGGAACTGGGCTTGTTGAGTCTGGAGAAGGGGAGGCTCAGAGGGGACCTCATTGCTCTCTACAATGACCTGAAAGGAGGTTTTAGTGGGGTGGGGATTGGTCTCTTCTGCCAAGGCTATAGTGAAAGGTTGTGAGGGAATGGCCTTAAATTGCATTGGGCAAGATTCATATTAGATATGAAAGAACCCTTTTTCCACTGAGAGAGTGTTGAGGCATTGGAACAAGTAGCCCAGGGAGGTGGTGGAGTCTCTGGAAGTGTTCAGGTGTGTGGTGGATTGACTTTGACTGGACACCAGGTGCCCTCCCAGCTGCTCTATCACTCCCCTTCCCAGTGGGATGGGGGAAAGAGTAAGGTGGAAAAAAAATAGTGGATTGAGACGCTCAATATGAGAATCCACAAGCTTCATTTATTATTTAAATAAGTCAACTTTTATACAATTTAGTTTGTTTTGGGCACATGCTTACAACAAGGTGATTGGATAGCTCAGTCTGTACACGCGTCTCATGTCTCCAGTTCATTGGACCTGATGTTCTGTCCACGCGGCCTGAAATCATACTTGGCATGTAGAGGTTTTCATAATTAGGGGCTTTCTGAAATCTGCAGGTGTACTTTTATCTATACTTTCTCAAGGCTTTCTTGCTCTAAACATACTATGTTCTCAAACCTTATAATTAGACACACAGCTAACAAGTATAAACATTACATATTTTCACACAGTCTATAAGTATAAACATTACAACTTACAACTTCTAAAGTCATGTCAAGCAAGGCCTACAGAAATGCAGGAAAAATTGTTCAGAGAAATCTCTCTATTCTGGTCACAATTCCCCATTTCTGCTTTTGAACAATTTTTACTGCATTCCCGTAACATTCTTTATTATACCTATAACATATCAACAAACACAATTACATATAATAATAATTACTATTATTATTAACAAACTTAACAACCTATTGACTTTAGGGTTTGTGCTCTAATTTTTGTTGAAAGGTGTTACTAAATATAGGGTTTATTCTTAAAATTTTATTTAACTTAAAAACACTTCTGGAAATGGAACTCTATTCAATTATGGGTTATGTGTCTTCTGTTTATTCAAAAGGTGTTTGTGTAATTGTGTTCATATATTCACACACATACATGCATACACTTTCATTCATTCACATTCACATGGTGGCCACTATCATACACACTGTCACACAGACATACTTTTGAGTTCCATGTCACTGCGTTCTACGAACCAAGAAATTATAATAATTCTCTAGTACCTTATAATGATAATAATTTTCTAATACTTTATAATGTTAGAGTTTCTTAACCAAACAGATAAAACTAACCAGATAAATAAACTCTCTTTTACCAATGCCTAGTGAGTAATCCAAAGGTCACACAACACATTATACTTAAATTCTTACCCTCTATAATTATATGCTTTTTAACTTTTTAAAATTATGTACTTTAAAAATACTAAAATATTGTGCTCAATAAACTGTGTTCTAATAACATTAAGACAACTGTTAGTTACAACAGTTTCTGATGGTGTCACAGTCACCTGCAGGAATAACATCAACCTTGTTCCGAAGAACCAGCTTCTTTCCAAGGCCTCATCCATCATGTAGATAGCTAGAGAACACCTGTGTGCAAAAAACTTAACACATGAAAACACTTTTGCAAGTCAACTAAGGGGCTGACACCCTTCTCTCCCCCATTTCTGCTTTTGCAAAAGTGTTTTTAAAATTCTTAACTCACTAATCTCTTTACCAAATACCTTTGTGATAATAGCAAAATTCTATAGCAGTTCTATTTTGTAATAGAATATGTATATACTATCTATAACTTCTAACAATTCTGATAAAATTATAGGCTAACATGTCTAAAAATTTCACCTTCATGTTTTCATCTAGGTTAGGATGGATATTAATTGCATAATGCAACTGATCAATAAATTTCCAAATGGTTCCTGATGATCTCTGTCATACTGTAGAAAAAGACGGAGTTGTCTTATCACCATGTATTGCTTGTATTGCTTTTCTGATCACAACCTACATCTATGGTACAAAAGCTGTTTCAGCTGAAAAGTACAGATTATTAATACGCATAAAGTAAAATATATAGGTGAAAAGAAAAGAATTCCTACAGATCATTTAGGCTTTCAGTCAAATGGGATTTGTAAAAGAAAAGCAATATATCGATATTTACTTTGAGATGTATAATAAAACTCTAAGATTTTAACTGATTTTAACAGTAAAACAATAGGTTTTGTCAAAGCTGAGGAATCATCTATCGAAAGAATGAAACCACAAGATTGAAGAAATGATAACAATTATATCTGATTACACCAAAGGAAGTCTTTTCTACAGACTTAATTACTCTCAGCAACTCCAAAATTTCAATAAATCCCAATTCAAGA